ACAAGGCAACTAACACTATCAGGCAGTTACACGTGTGCAGCAGAGTTTCTGTAAGTAAGTTTGTGGTGTTCAACTTAAAATAATTGGAGAGATCTTGACTTTTCAAACAGAAGGGCGAGGCCGATACCGGTACGGTCTCGGGAGTTCACTTGTCCTGAACAGTTGGGCCACAGCTGTAAGCATGGAAAACCCAAAGAACATTCTGTATGTAATTATTTTTTTTCTGGACAAACAATTTTATTTTAGGTAATGCGTCTATACACTGTACATTCAGTCACTGTGGTATATAAGCATAGCTATTTTCATACATAATCTCATAAAGTCCTTTATTTTACAATATTATCTGCTTCAAGGGGGAGGGGATGTGGAAGAGGGGGTGGAAAAGGACTATCAAGGTACACAGCGAAATAGATAAATATGCCAAGCTTTTTTCTTATTTTTTTTTTAAATCAGGCATTTATAAACAAGAAAGCATACATTACTTACATAAAAATAGTTCTAGAATAGTAGAGTAAGTCATAATATTGTCATTAGCAGCAGCATAGGAGAGACCAGGATAACAAAAATGTGCTGAAATGCTATTGGCTATTATAAATGTAAAGATTTATTTTTCTTCAATTGAAAAAATGTCATTTCTGTGAGTTCTTTTGATTTAAAAAAAAAAAAATGAAAACAACAACAACAACCAAACCAACAAAAAACTTCTCTCTAAAACACATGGACTGATGAGAGGGCAGAATGAAAAGAAAAATCAACCTTTTGGTAATAAAATACTTTACAGTGAAAATAAGGACAAATAAAATGCAAATGGTGGAGAAAAGTTAACCCACGTTTAAAACTTGCAAAAAGATTTTGTTTTCTTTTTCCTAACAGACAGCAAAGGTTCTTCTTAGTTAAAAACACAACTCATAAAACAAGACAACTACCAAGTAAGAAAGAGTTTTGAAAAAGTAAACACCATATACACTTATAATACAACAGTGTAAAATGAAAAAAAGTATTTACATGTTGAATTTACTTTTAACTTTTTTTTTTTTTACATTGGCTAGTTCTGTTTGTAAAGCAGAATATTATGTATACTAGTTAGCTGCTCCATAGATATGAATGTTATTGCTGTTGGTTTTTTTCCCTTCGTTAAGTCTTCTTTCAGTAATAGAAACAATGAGTAATTAAACTGAATATACAAGTATTAAGTAATATAATTTTAAGTACAGGGAGAGTCAACAGCCTGTATGAAACACCTCTTCTCCCTTTTAACTTCTCAAAGGAAACTAAAGCGCAAACGGAAGGAGAAGTGACTTGACGGTTCCTGCGCTCGGGCTGGAGCGCGAACGGAACGCGGCGGGACGCAACGGGAGCGCGACAGAAGCGATTCCACCGGCACGGGCTGACACCTGTTCCACTGAAGCGCTGCCGACGCAGAAATCACACACAGAACTCCCTCACCTCAAGCACCTTCACAATGTTGGGGCTTTTTCTTTGAAGATTCCCACTGTTTTGACAGCCCTTTTCTAGAATTAGCGTCTCTGTGGCCGTCTTCTGACAATTTTAAACACTGCATTACATGCGCAGGAATTCCGAATTGGAAACGCACTATATTCTGCAGAAATAATTAAGATTTTATTCTTAAAATGTATTTAGGAAAGACAAAATTATTTAAGGTAGTTTCCTTTCCTGTAAACCTCCCCTATTGAATAACTGCTGGTGTAGAACATTTGTTCCCAGCCGCCTTGCACATTCTTTCATCATACTCATTTGAAACCTTAATTTGCAGGAATGTTTTCACAAGGATGTTTTCACTCCAGGGATCGAATGCTATTGAGCCTTGACCTCAAACACTGAGAATTCAGTCCATCTGCCATGTTTTTAACTCTATGGAACCACCATCCCGCATGGCAGAAGGAGAAGCCGTGGGCTGTAACAGGATGTCACGGCTTAACCGGGACGGTCCGTCGGGAGATTTTTTTCTTCCCAGTCTTATCCCAGTCACCTGTGACGCACAGGTCACGCTGCCTGCTTGACAAGACTATTTGCTATTGATAAGACTAGTTACTGTTCTGTTTTTTTTCCTTTGAAAAAAATGCAGATTTCATTGATTTTGGAGGACGGAAGCATCGTAGGCACCAAAGAAATTGTGCCAGTGAATCAGAATGCTTCCCTAGACACACACAGAAGAAAACCTACGTCGTGCTGCAGGTAAGTGGGCCACTTTTCTTGTAAAAAAAGACAGAGATGGACGTTTTGCTGGTTTTGGCTGAGTCACAAGAGGAGAGACACAATCCAAGACTGGAGGGGAAGAAGCCCCAAACAAACAAAATTGTATGACAAAGTGAGGGTGGATGTGCAGTTGTTCTGTGTGTAATTTCTTACCGCGGCAAAGCAGCATGTGAGACTTGTGAAACGCACAACAATCAACTAAAGCTGAAATTATTTAGTTTCCCTTGAAGAAATAAGTGAATAATACAGCTCTGGAAATCATAAGGCTGAGAACATTTTTATGCATACCGCATAACAAAATAAACCCTTTACATAAGACAGTAATAATGCCCATTAATGAATATACGTATGGCAGAGATTTTAATTCCATGCATATGATTTAATAATCGCAGAAAAAACATACAAAGAAGAAAAAAAACAACAAAACAAAAAACAAACCACATTAAAAAAACCTGCTTAAGCATAATCAAAATTCCTTTTGCATTGCACTTTAGGAGATCTGCATCTAGACTGAGTCTCCAGCATCCCAAACACACAGGGGCAAACCCCCGTGTAAACGGACAGTTTCGTGTAATTTACTTGGTAGAACTGTTTCTTGCTCCCAACAGTTTTACATTGTCCCAGTAATTCTACTCCTTTCAGATTTCTTCTTTTTGTACCTAAAACATATATATGAACTTCTTTGTTAATGCTCACAGTTATTATAATGGTTATTATAATGGTTTCAAGCAAACAGCTCTTGTTTAAAAAAAAAAAAAATCTCTCTAATGTACTGTAGGTAAATACTGTAATTTTAGGATTGGAAGCCGCTTTCTGTCTACTGGGAAATAATTTTTAAGCTTACATAGTTTGCATTAATGTCCAAAAGCAAATAAAGATTACTGGAAATAAGTTTCTTCGTTTAGAATAACTTCTGTGTATGATGATGCATAGGGTGTGGGGTTTTTTTTTCCTTTTTATTCTTTAAGGTAAAAAAGGGTGTCAGCATTGCCTATATACGATGCTGAGAGGAAAAATGAGCTGGAAGGCACATCTGCAGCCCCAGATCAAATTTTCACTTTCTGCTGATAAGCTTGAGTGTACACGAGGTGAGTGTTTACGGGTGAAAATAACTTTTCTCTCGTTCAGTAAAGCACCAACTTTGTTTTTTAAGCACTTCCGGGAGCATCTCGACTGCTTCCCAACTCCTGTTAGATACAGAGCCACACGAAACAGGTTAAAACCCAGCCAGTAGCACGCTGGCCTGGTGAATTCATATTTGGAAGCATTCTATGCCTGCCGAATCCTCGTTTTGTAGAAATGGAAATGATGATGCAAGGTGGCGCACGGTAGAAAATCGGGTCGATGATTTTCACATCTGTTAGGCAGGGCAGAATCGAGAATGCTCAGCTTGTAAACTTTAGAAATATGGAATAAAATGCAGAGTAAGATTCTGACAAAGTGCAGTTTTAGGAAAAAAAAAAAAACAATAAAAAAATCAACAACAACAAGACAACAAAGTGATGGCATGCTGCATTTTTATTCCGGGGCTGCGGCTTGGATCCCAAAATTAAAGTAATTTCTTTTTTAAAAAACAAAAAAGTTTGTGTATTTTTTAAAAAAGATGTAGGCTTATTCACAGCAGCAAAAATGTTGTTTTTCTTTTCTGTAGTATCCAATAACGCGATGTTGCACTCTCCTTGGGCACAGAAATCCTGACTGACAGTTCATAGAAAAAGCAGGTAAATACTGAATTTATGTAAGACGGTGCAACAAAGATGAGTCTTCCAGAAAACTGAAAGCTGAAGATTTCAGAATGACTTCAAAACGCGCATGTCTTCTGCTTTATCTCTCAACTGACTTAACAGATCATCCGTTTCCTCCTTTCTTTTCCTGAAGCTGAAGTGCTCTTGGATGAAGTGAGTCTTTTGAACGCATCAATTAACGAAGATGTCGTTGGAGAAGATGGCCTCATTTGCAAACACTGAAGTCTGTAAGGCTGGGTTTGTACTTCTGAAGCGTACGGTCGTTTTTCTTCCCACCTCCACTCCCTCCCACCCACCCCCCTTTACAATCCTGCATCTTCCTTTGCTCCTTGTGTTCAGGACAGGAAATGAAGAGAATTCTTTCTAAGGAAAAAATCAACTTTGAAAAGCACTCTGAAATTCTCACACAACCATGTGACGGGATTAAAACTGTGATGGCTTCCTGGATGGCTGGAAAACTGCTAATGAAATGGCGTCATCACCAGAGGGCTTCTACGTTAAGAATCCCAAAGCCTATAACAAGTCATTAAAAATTGTGCATCGAAGTTGGTTTTTTTTTTTTGTTTTGCTTTTAAAGGTTCATTATAAAAATCTTGTTAATTTTTTAATACCAAGTCTGCGTAATGAATTATTTTAAATAGCTTATAAGAAAAGTCTGTTTTTAAATTCCAAAATGTTCCAACAGGCAGAAGGGCAACAGAAAACACTGCCATGCTTGCCTTTTACTCTGATTTTAGTTGGACGATGCTGCTTGCTTGGAGTTTGCCAGTAGAAAATTTGCTGTGGACTTAAAAGTATTCTGTTTATAAACACTTTGTGTTTTATAGGCACAGAAAGATGTTGTGCTATATGGATTGGGGAAAAAAGAGGCGTAATTCAGTGCTTCTGTTATAAAGAGTAACGTTTGCCTTCCAACTAATAAGAATCCATATTCATAGATCTGTGTGCCAAGACACGACTGCTCACACATGCACTTACACACGTACCCACACATCTCCCTTACTGTGCACATGTCTTTTCGTACGACGCGGTGTTGGTTTAGTTCTCAATGGTGCTGCTTGTGTTTTCACTGCTGGCTTGACTGCTTGATTTAGGCCACAGCTGTTCCTGAAGTTCCTTGACTACTTTTTCCAGGTGTTCTCGAGCCTCCCTTTCATGCATCAGGTCAGCTCGGAGCTGCTCCCTGTCAGCCTCCGCATGCTGAAGCTTAACCTGCAGGTCCTCAATCTAGAGAAAAGCATATTAAGAAACAAAATAAACCATTTCAGTATTTCAGTTCCGTTGTTATTTTGTAGACTTTAACACAGACTGGCACCTGGGCACAGTGAGAAGAGTCATAAAGCCGTGCCCTTCCAGACGTAAGACTGTTGACGCTGAGGTGAGGAAGGAATTCCCTTTTCCCTCCCTTTTTCCATACACTACTGTACAATGATGCGAGCACATTGCATTAATGATTAAGCCAACCCAGAAGCATTTAAGAATGTCAAGGCTAAAGTTCCAGAACGGAGGGTCAAAACCAGCATAGTCTAGCGTGCCTTAGAGTTAACAGACTCTGGGCCCTGTGCTTACGCCACGACTACTATTTCTTTAGGCAGACAGCAATTCTGCAACGTGAACTACAACGTTTGCACAGGCAGAGTCATTCACTGTCAGATCTTTTACAACCGTTATTAACCTCGTTGCCTACGTAACAACAGGCCCGTGTCTCGGCTACAGATTAACGTCCAACAAAAGCAACTGTAGTTCCTCTCCCATACAAGAACCATTACATCCTTCATACTCAATGTAAGGAACTGCAGCGAGGCACCATGGACACGGAGGACGTGGCGGTGCGGTGTAGGTGGCAAGGGGATTGTGAATACGGATGTGAGAAGCCCTCTGAATGAGCAGAAACTCTCTAAGCAACAGCGAAAAATGTGACACTATTTCAACTCCTAAATAAGATGTTAGACTTGGGAGGGCAGAAATGGGACTGAGCAGGTCCTAACACGTAGTAACTTTGCACAGAAATGGACTTAAAGAAATACTAGTGCCAAATGGCCTTAGAGGAGATCACTTGCTGAGATCAAACTGTCTTCTTCCAGCTACAGCAAGAGACACAGATGGCCTCAGCCTCCCCAGAGGCCTCAGCAGTCAATATTCCTATTTTTTACTTACAGACACCAAAGGCAGAGAAAAGCCCCAGGATTCAAGGGTGTAAACTTAGAAAAACCGCACCAGTTTGAAATACGCAGTTTTAGGCCACAAAGAGCTGAGATTAGCATCTCTCAAAGATTGCTATTTATTAAAGGAAAGGAAAACTCCTATGTTTTGGGCTAAAAAGAAAGCTGGCCTACCACCCCATCCATATTTGGATCTCAGTAGCAAGGTAAAAGAAAAAAGAAAGGCATAAACCACACTGAGTGATATTCAGTAGGTATTAAGCATCTACTACTTTAAGCTTACACAAAGACATTTATTTACACCCCTGAATTTGTTGTCTTATTTCCTCTCATGCCTGCCCGATGCTCCTTCTCTCAGAATTGTGGTTTCCTCAAAAAATAAGCAGCAATGGACACAATGTAAGTGACAAACTTCCTAAGTGCGCGCCAAATTAAAGATAAAAGGATGTATAAAGCTTTATTTTAAAAATTCTTACATGACTTAGGAACTTACTTAAGTCATATTGACGTCGCCTTGTAAAATTCAGACTTTAATTACTTAAGGTATTTTTCTACTGCGTGCCATGCAGAAATCTCTTAAGTTGCTGCTAAATAAAATGGCTGTGCCAACCCCTAAGACATGAGTTGCCCTGTGGTGTTTTGCCCAAGCACAGCACTACTCCAGCTTTACCCCATTTGGGGCCTCGTGAGCATCCTCACACCCCTACACCGCGCCCCGGTGCCGTAACAAGCAGCCTACGCACACCCAACGGCACGGCGGCTGGGCTGATGCTGCAAACGCGCCATGAGCGGCTTCAGAAAAGACAAACCTGCAGAATATTCAGCTACTTCAATTCTTTTGGAGGCCATTTTAGCCTTTCGTGTTCGGAAACCTCGTTTATTCCCTCCTCCAAAGGAGGGACCGAGTAGGAGAGTGAAAACCACCGTGTCAGAAACTCTTTGTGTATCACAAAGCAGAGGCCACACCTGCGGCTCCATGGTTGGTACGGACGGCGTTTACTTTTAGCTGCACTTGCTCCTGACTTTCTTTTTTTTTTTTTTTTGCTGAAGTGGAAGTCAGCTGCCGGCAACGCCCAGTGCCGCAGCGCGGTCTGGCTGTGTTTAGTCTGGACACTTCTTATCAGGGAGACATCCTGTGATGCTCGGCAGGAAGCCGCATCATTTCCTGCTGCTGGGCTCCTGCTTCGGCGGGGCTCACAGTGCTACAGGGACCACTCCCCTTCCCGGCATTGAGAGCCTGGCTCAGACGTTTCTGGTGGCTTTTGCTGCTTCTTTTCCTTCCCCTGCCTTAAAGTGACCACCCCGACTCTGCAGCTCACGCTTCAGGCGCAGCAACATGTGCGCGAAGCGTGTGCGTTCAACCACACGGGTGGCAGAAGAGCTGCTGCTGTGAGCACGGTCCAGAAGAGCTCCCTTTAACAGTAACTCAGGGAGGCCACAACACGGAAGTTCATCTCACAAACGTCGGACCCTTGTGGGGCTTTTGTGTGTACGTGGGGTATCTCTGCTGTGGGAGTCTGAATTCAGGCAAGTGTGCCCAAGTTTTCAGACCCTCTGTTGCAAACGCCTGCTGACCCCTGCCTGTTTTCAAACGGATTTCTCAGCCAGCGATGGGGACAGTGGGTTGGCAGAGGGACAGTTAGGTGGGAGCAGGTCAGAGCAGGACTACGGGGGGGGCAGCTATGGCAAGGAAAGGGGTTAGCTGTAAGGAGAGGGGCTGTTTGGGAGCCCCTCTCCACAGAGGGGAAGAGAGGGCAGCGGGTTAACAATGGGTGTGGGACCATGCCCTGTTATAGGACATGCATTACTGGGCAACTGGGATTGTTTTACTGGAGGAAGGGGAAGGCAGGGCATGCAACAGATTCCTCTTCAGGGCTGTTTCTCACGGAAATCCAGGAGGCTGCCATTCTGCTCTCAGCTCAGCCTGCTATGCTGGGTCATTTCAGGGGGCTTGGAAAGGGGATGGCCTTGCATTCCACATGCCCTGCAACACCAAGACACAACAAGGCGACTTAAGGATGTGCAGCCTGAGCTCTTGGTTCGCTTGGCTTTGGGTGGTTTAGGCAAACTTCAGAATCTTTTTTTACAAGCGAGTCTGATGTGGAGAGGGCGGAGAGGGATTTTTAGTTTGAAAGCTTAAAGCATACATGTTGCTTGTAAAAACATGTTCCTGCATCCCTAGAACTTCACTGAGATCAAACTGGAAGTCTTGTCTTAGGCCTGACAGTTTGCTCTTCTTGTACTTTACAACTGTGAACATCACTCCTTCCCAGCACTGCAGTTTGCTTATTGATGGGCCTTGGTGTCTTCTCTTGTTTTAAATAGTTCCTGTATGTCTAGGCTGGTCTTCAAGGAAAAACACTGTTAGGAGAAAGTAGCTCTGCCTGACATTAACAGTACTGAAATGGATCCCTATGCATGGGCAGTGCCAAAAGGGTGTTAGTGGGACGGAAATAATGCCTAGCATTTGTCTTAGTTCTCTGTAAATGGTGATTTTCGACTGACAAACGTGCAAAGTTCTGGGCAGAACTCTGGGACTGACAGAGGTGGTTGGCAGGTGGTTGACAGAGTTGGTAACAGCCTGCCTTAGGACTAGGGTTGTAAGTTGGCATGACGGGGGCACAGACATCATATGGGTAGGAGCTGCCCTGGTATCAAATTAGACAAAACAATGCCACTGGCATTGGAGGACAGACGGACACTTGAACTAACCCTGAAAACCCACGGAAATCAGGAGCTTACTTGCTGTTACAGCTTTCAGCATTCGGGTCTTACCTGGGCTGAGTACTTGGCCCGGAGCCTGCCTGCTTCACAGCCCTTGTCACAAACCCGGATCTGCCTGGCTTGCTCCAGTTCCCTCTTCAGTCGTATCCGAGACTCGTTGGCTTCCTTCATTTTCTTCTCGTTCTCAGCTCTCAGACGTTCAATCTCTTTCCTTAAGTTGCGCTTCGCCTCCGTGGCTTCTCTCAGTTTCTCTTTCTTAGCCACTCTTAGGAACTCCAGCTCCTGGAATACAAAAGCGGTTCACTTGCAAGAACTGAGGAGCAGAGACCAAGTGCAAGGAAACAGAAGTTCAAAGGAAGCAATCCAAACTCAGTTCCCACCTTCTGTTGGTTATGACCGAGAAGGCTCATGTCTAAACCTCATTCTGAACTTTGTACAAGCTTTTCTCCTTTAAATCCACATAAGAGCCTACGCTCAAGATACCCTGAATTCTTGGATAATAAAAAGCTACATGCTACAGCCACATTTTGCTTTGTCAAGCAAAATAGCTGTGACCATCTGTGACTGAATAAAGATGAACTGCAGTTGGAGAGAGCAACGTGCTCTCCACTAGCTCGGAGTTTCAAACCAGCCAACTGTAATGTCTGCACTGAAGATACACTACGTTACCATAAATGCAATTTGTGAGCACCCTTTGTGCACAGCAAAGCTGAACAAGAAAGTTTGCTACTCGCTGAAGAAATCAGTAGGCAGTTCCATTTGATCAAGCTCCCCCCAGTCCACTTAAGGCAGGCACGAGAAAACACAAATTGTATCTCCCTTCTAGGTGTAGGCAGTTTCGGTTTGCTATAGGTAACTGGTGCGTAGCCCTAAGCCAGCCAACGGACTGCTCCGTCACAATGGCTGGAAAACTCCAGGCTAAAACCATGCTTTGCTCTGGAAGTTGCCACTCTCCCTGTCCAGGTGCTTCACAGAAGCTTCTACTGGGAAATCTCAAATCTAAGAGAGCACAGCTAACTGAGGTGATAATGATAAGGACCCTGAAGGCACAAAGGAAGAAACTCAGAAGTTTTTAAAAAGCTGCTGTTAGAAGACACATGCATCATATGCACAAAAACGTGGCTCACTAAAAGGTCTGTCTCCTAAATGGTTAAATCGGAAGCTAAAAGTTCGATTTCTTTTTCCCCAGAAGCAGCATTTCCTCTCTGCCCCTGTCGGAGTCAAACCCTCACAGCAACTGTTTCTGTTAAGTAACGCTGCAGTCGGGTCATGGGAAATTCTCTCTTCTGACAATCCCACCTCCCAGCCAGGCCATTGTTAGCTCAGCCTTGCCTCTGGAAGCGTGCACACATGTACCTTCTCCGTACGTGGAACTGGAAACCCACAGCTGCCAAATGGAAAACGATGGCCAGATACCACGCTCCCTCTCACCCCGACACGTTGCTTGATGTAATGCCTCACCACTCGATTCTGCTTCACCAACTACTTCATGCAATTCCTGCTTCACTGCAAGTACCCGCTGTGTGTTTAGTTTAGGAATTTATTAAAAATTACTTTTAAATACACAGTACTTATAAATATTTACTTTCAAATACTTAAAATAAAACGTATTTACTGAAACACAAGGGAATGACGCGGTTTGCTCAAGGTGACAACAAACAAGCAGTTCAGCTGAACAGACAGCGCTCGGGCTCCCTTCTCCGGCCCCGGATCTGCCGGGGGAACACCCCGAGCCACCTTCACGGGAGGCACGAGAGCAGGAACTGCCTTGCTGTGCTGCAGCTCTTGCAGAAACTGGAGTTGGCAAATTTTTGTTCACATTCCAATTGTGATCAGATCTACGCACTTCACACAAGCTCTCTCTGCCCTGCTAGTGGAATACTTGGAGCTGCTGCTGGGGTTTGGAGGATCGGGGTTTTTTGGTGCTGTTTTTAAAGACAGCAGGCACGCTGCACACAGATCCCATCTGTGAACCCTTTGTTTCATTCCCCAAAGACACAAATGCGTTGTGCCAGCTACCAAGACTGCACACCTGCTTTGGACCAAGCGCACTGGTTTTCTCTCTCCCGTGCTGGATGAAACAAGGCCACCCTACAGTTGCCACCCTACATGCACCTAATGGATCTGGTTTCTAGCCTGGCTACAGCTCCACATGCAATACTCGGAGAGGACACGCCGATCTCCTACATGGGCTCTGCCTTCTCTTTCTGCACACCTTTGGCCCCAGCTCAAATGAAAGAAGGTTCACCCGCCATTCTGCTCAGCCCCCATGATCTACAAATGGCCAGGACAGCTCTGCAGCTTCTCCTGCCTGACCACTCTCTCTTTGAGATGGTATGTATCCAGGATTTCCAGAAATAAGGAACTGCTGTGCTGAACGAAGCGAGAAACTTTCAGTGAAGCTTGGCTAGCGGAAAGCTCCACAAAGATCTGCAGCTCAGATCTTCAGCAAGTGTCTCTGTGTCCCAGGAACATCCTCCCCAGCTGGGCAACGCCAGGATTTTCACAAGTCTTTTAGGACTACAGATAAAGCCTCCACAAGGACAGAAGTATTCCTAGTTCAGTGGAACAAAACCAAAACAAACTGTACTGGACTAGAAGATTTTTTTCAGTAATGAAAAGATGTTGATTTTGGTAACCATGGATTTACACCCTAAGGCAAAAACAGGTGGCAAGTTCAAAAAGGTAGGAATGGTTCCTGTATCCTTTGGTTTCCTGACTGAATTTACAAACAATCCCCCCCAGTAAGGGCTGTTGCTATTTGGGAAAAACGAGGCAATTCTTTTTCACACGAGACCACCTCAGGTTTTCTGCCCGGCAGAGGATTTGCAGACAGCGGCAAGAAAAAGCTGTTTTTCAGCATTACCTGGTGCAGGCTGCGTTTGGCTTGCAAGGCAGCATTGAGCTTCTCCTCCTGCTTCACTCTCATTTTAACAACTTCATGGAGGAATTTTTCTTTGGCTTCTTTTGTATCTAGGCCACTGTCCAGGGCCTGCCGTAGGTGCTCCAGCTCAGCTTCCAGCCCGCTGCTGTGCGAGTCGGAATGTGCTGCGACCTCGTACGAACTGCTGACTGTGACGGGGGCTTGCATCCCAGGTGAGCTCATGTCCTTTGCAGAGCTGGACGAAGTAAAGGATGGGGAGGAGAGCGAGGATAAGGAGGAGGTGACTGAAAAACAGAAACATCAAAAATTAATAAAGGCAGGCCTAAAACTAAAATAGCTCAAAATACGCTGAAGCCTTTTTGTACAGAGGAGATACTCAATATTCAATGAAAAAAATGAAAGAAAGAAAATTCCTGGTTTATATTTTGATGCTTGAAATGCAATAAAATGCAAACCTGACTGACTTAAGGGATCAACTTACAATTTGCTTGTATTGTGACTTTGGAATTTATGTCACAAACAGGGTTTTCTCTATGGGTGTGAAGAAACAGATTTCTTCAGGGAAACCTACACGATCCTGCTGTTTGCAGCGGGTAAAATTTCTTCTTTTTGCATAAACTGCACGCACTGAGTAAAGACTGAACATACTGAGGGCAGCAGCGGAATTAGCCGAGTGACATTAATGAGGGGATACCTGTGTCTTCCTTCATCTTTTCACGAGAGGCCCACCACTGGAATACTGCTTAAGAACACACTGGCTCTTCATGTATTCAGCTCCACGGATGCAGCGGTGGAACTGTGAGACCACACTCTTTGACACAAAATTCCACACTTCCACGTGTGTGCCCGCTAGGATTTTTACGGGCTATTTGTGTGCATCCCACCAAGGCCCTTCTAGAAGGCTCTTGATCAGACAGCAAACCATCAGTTTTTATGTGGACACCATATGCGTTTTGTCCTCTGCACACCACTGACCTGCCTTAACCACATTCCTCTCCCAGGAAAACACCCCCCAACTTACATTCCATTCTTGGTTCTTAATTACTTACGGCTGAATTTTAAATCCTGTTGAGTTATTAGGCTTCCAGAACTGTATTTAATCACAACAGAAGTTGAACAGCTATCTCCTGTGGATTACTAAGGAAAACCAGCACAAATAAAACAAAATAAAGGCAGATCTGGCACTTACATTCTTCCCTGGTTTCTACTTCAATTTCTGCTTCCGATTCCTTATCCTCTTCAGCGGCGGGGGCAGCAGTGGCTGCTGCTTCTGGGACAGCTGTGTTCTCTGCAGCAAGTTTTCTTTTCCGTGGCTGCACAGAGCTGCTCAGTGGCTCACTGCTTCGTGACACGACCGTGGCACAGGGCGGGTTGCTGACGATTTTCTGTTGGGCTGGAGGTGCAAGTGCCACATTGGGGGCCACAGCATTCTCAAAGCTTTTGTAGGAGTAAAAACTGTTTTAGAGGGGGAGGCAAAAGGAAGGAGAAAATAGTCATATTCTTGGCTTTAAAATGCTTCCCAATCCATGGGAATGGACTCAGTTTCCACACTGAAACTGCAAGACGCTTACTGGAATGACAGTGAAGTTCCATTGATTCACACCAGCTAAGAATCTGCTTACATATTTGCTTAGTGTTTTTGCACTCATTTAAACACAGAGATGATTAATGCAGCTCATCTCCGTCCGGTTCAGAAGATCATACTCGAAGTGCCACGCTCTCAGAGCACCAAAGAGACGAGATCTCCCAGAGTCTAAAAATTAAAATGATGTTTTGTTGTGATCTTCATTTAGGTAGTAAAGTTTTACTAGCACAGTTTTACTTCTGTCTATCCACAAATGTTTTGTAAACTTGGAAACAGCACTTCCTTAAGAAAGGCCAAGGGACAGCAAAAAGCATTCAATTTTTTTAGGCAGCATGCATCTGAGTGCATGTACATAAAACTGCAGTTAAAAAACCCAACAAACCTATATTTAAAGGACAGTAATACTGTAATGTCAAATACACAGAATTTTGAAAAAAAACCCCACATAGCAAAGACCGTCTTTGCAACTTCAATTCAGCATCTACTACATTAAAATTTCTCCTGAAACTTTTGAAGGTGGGTTTTCTTCCAAGACTTAAATCAGCCAAATTTCTCACAGGGATACCAAGGGCATACTCTTACACCAGTTTAGCCCTTCTATCCCAACCTAACTGAAAAGAATATGCTGGTAGGCTTTCTTTTCTTTTAATTTCCTTTAAAAAAAAAAAAAAAAATCAATCCCCACAGCTTCTAAGAAACTTGTTCATCAGGGCAGCAAAATATTTTCTCCATAATGCTCCCTAAGAACACCTGGCCACTTTAGTCAAACTTTCCAAAGAAACCATTACCCTTAGGCTGAAATCTGGCACAAAGATTTTGCAGACTGAACAGTTCGAGTCTGGCAGAAGAATGTGTAATTGCCCTGACATTTTCCATTCTAACTGTGACACCAGTAGTCCCACCTATTATGGGTGGTGTCTCGTTCTTGTACCAGTGTAATTATGTTCCTATCCAAGAGCAGAATCTGGCCTGTAGCATCAGCGTTCTGATGGGTCTTACAAGCTGAGGAGTCTTCTGCAGGCCCTCCTGCCCAGTGTGCTCCACCACGACCCCCCAGGACCACTGGCCATCAAGAGGGAATGGGGTACCCTGTGCTGTCCAGTCAGTCCTCCATCTCCCTATGGCACTGTCACTACCAGAGGTGGCACGCAGTTGTGTTGGCGACATGCCGACTGGCCAGTGCTACAGAGCTGCTGCAGTCAGCAACTGGCAGTTGCCTGGAAGTAGCTGGCTGGTCCCTGACCACCTGCCCTAAGAGTAACTCAATCTTCCTTTAAACAGTGAAGCCTGAGAACTTCTGGTGACTGCACCCCAAAATGATCCTAAGTTCATAGCAGCGGCCTTCATTTCAGACTTTCGTGGCACGTTTTACCTAAGAAAACCTATTTAATGAATGCACAAAATATCAGCACTGGTTTTTCGTTTCCCTTGTGCAAATTAAAACACTGCAGCCGCAAATGCTTTTTAATCTGACACTAGTGGACTGACTGAATGAACTACAAAGCCACCAGTTAACAGTGCAAAGGAACAAACAGAAAGCAACTTGCTGTCAAACAAATCGGCACGTTTTACCTACGAAAACCTATTTAATGAATGCACAAAATATCAGCACTGGTTTTTCGTTTCCCTTGTGCAAATTAAAACACTGCAGCCGCAAATGCTTTTTAATCTGACACTAGTGGACTGACTGAATGAACTACAAAGCCACCAGTTAACAGTGCAAAGGAACAAACAGAAAGCAACTTGCTGTCAAACAAATCTCCACGGCTGCTAAGCCCACTCTCCCTCCAGTTCAGGGCTCCTCACCTGTCTCGGATCAAGGCAGGAAGATGGGTGGAGAGCTCTTTCTCATTTGCTGATACAGCAGGGGACCAGGGCCGGAAAGCTGAGAGACGCTGACGGGGATGGACACAGCCAATGCTCTGGGAAAGTGGGGGAAGAAAAACAGGTAAATACAAACAACCTTTTAAACTACGTATCACGATGGAGTGCTCGTGATGCTTTTCAGTACACATTCTGTGATCTCTGAAACTACTCCCCAGTGGCTAGGACCTACTTATTTACTACATTCCACTGGGAGAGGTGAACTGCACCAGTGTAAAACCTCACGTTTTTTCTTTGCCAATAACTTAAATATAGTTTGCAGCGATCACAAAAAGCTCCTGAGTCTGTCAGGATTCTTGTACCTCAAAGGCAGGAAGGAATTCCTGACTCCACTGTCACAATCAAGGTCAGTGAACACTGGAAGATGGAAAGGAAACGGTGAGGACTGTATAGATCAATGTTTACTGGGAAAAGGATAGAAATGTTATTAATTTAGAAAACCTGGGCAAGTTCTTTCTCTCATTTTTCTCTTTTGGTTTCAGTAGAGGGATGCTACATGCTAATTTGATCTCTCTTTTGATGACCAAATATTCAGCAATCACCTTATTAGATGAACTGGATAAGGACCGTAACCAACTGGATTGCTTTTCCTTCTCAGTAGAAGCTGGAGATTGGGAAGCAGAGTCATCTATTTTGGGCTTTTTGGAAGCAGGAGGATCTGAAGGGACCTGAAACAAAGACAGGCAGGAAAAATCAAAGACAGAATTACTCACTTTGCAATTGGCTTAGAAACAGGTTATAAGGCAAAAGCAAATTTTGTATTTAGAAGAAAGAAATGCTGGGTTTTTTTCTGCATTTCTACACCTAAGGGAAAACAAAGGAGTGAAAACAAGGGACAGACACAAACTATGACATAATGCGGCTTCACTCCTTCATTTAAATACTTGGATAAAGTGTAGATGGTGCAGGAATGACAGGCAGCAATGTGAGAGAGACATTCACACCATGTTGCAGAGAACTATCTGCCTTTTCTTATTTTTGTATGCAGAAAGGTAAGGTTTAATGTGGTTGCTGAACTGGAAAGATTATTTTAAACGAGAACAGAACAGACTTTGTTATTCTGTTTGCAGTGGTTGTTATGCCGATGACTTCACTACCCCACAGCTGCAGTGGATTCTGGGGGTGCTGCCAAGAGCTGCTTTGCCTTTTCCACAAGTGGCTCAGCTTGGCCCATAAATCATCCTCAAGCATAAGAAAGCCCTTTGGCAAGCAAAACCCCTTTCCTTCAACACTGTGAAGGAATAAAATTCCTATAGTCCCAGCGTGGCTTGCAAAAATATTGGTAACTACTGGTTTAACTGGTGCAGTGGGGATACCAGCTTGAAGCCTTGCCAGTACAAACACGTCTATCACCAGGGAGGGAGAAGGTTCTGGACCTTATGCTGCACCATGACTAGAAATAATAGGAGAAACATACCACCTCAGTTTCTATTCCTCCTTCTTTCTTTTCTTTTTCTCTGCCTTTCCGTATTCCCTTCAACCTGGTCCTAAGTAAACTGGCAGAACCATGCTGCAGTACTAGGAATCGCTCACATTTGCATTAAATTTTTTCATCCTTCCACCTTACTGTGATTTTTGTGGGCAAACAAGTATCTATACAGGTGTGTCTGTTAAAACACAGGCATGGCGAAATTTGGAGAGCCTGAAATTCTTCAAACCCATCCCTATTTGCCAATGTCTTGTGTTCTGAAAATCAGTCCTCTTCAAGGCATCTTAAACTGGGAACTCAGAAACTGCTTCTCCAAACGATACTCGCTCCTGAAAATTGTGATCTGAATGACTTCACCTGAAGAGTACACGAGGAACTGAAAGCGATATTGCTAAAATGCACTTCTCCAGACTCCCAACTGGCTTCCAGGCAAACCCAACAGCTCTGTAACTAGAGCAATGCCATCTCTTTGGCACACCTTAATTAGGAGGAAATTATGACCTCACGTCCAAGAACAGTCTACTGCTTTCATGGAAGCAGGGCAGCAGTGTGGAGCTACGGCTCACACCGGTGACTCGCCAGTGCCGGCCCATCTGGCAGCACACACCACTTTTACCACGCCTGCAGCCCAGTGTGCACAGTAACGTAATCAAACCAAGTCTGGAGGTTTTAGCGAAACATTCCCTGGCGCTCTGGAGCTCGGGGCAGCTTTCCATATGTAGCAGATGAAGAAGAATTCCATGGGTGCGTATATGCGTAACCCCAACTACAAAATTAGCCCGTGCCAGTGCCAAGCGCCAGCTTCAATGGATTTGCAGAAGATTCTTTGGCACAGCTTCAGGCCTCCCCAGGGCTGACTCTTGTAGTGGCTGTGGCATGGTCCCTCCCACCTAACTCCACTAAGAAAAGGCATGTCTAACTGCTTTCTGTAGAAAATGCAGGACAATGCACTGGGAAAGATTTGTTTTTGCTTTCAGAGATGCTGTCTGTGCAGAATTAGTGACAGCATGAGGAAGGTATTTGGCAAGTGACTACCGATCCCAACCCTATCCACTGGGGATGGTGAGCTGTGTGGGGAGGGGAACTTGGGGTGGAGGGTGGGGAGGAAGGGGGGGCTTGGAATGAAAAAGGCAACAGGTGGCAAGACTCAGCATGGAAACCCATTCCTCCCCCCACCATCCGCAGAGCATGCTGTGCAGGCAGGGGTGGAGACGGCCACCCCGGGCCCGAACCCCCCTGCCACACTGCGCAGGCAGCCAGTGGCATCAGCACCACGGGTCACACATGAAAACAAGCAGCTTTGGGAGAAGGACAGCAAGCTCAGGTTTTAGAAAGGTTGGAGGAGAGGTATTTCAATGGAATGGTCTCATTTGCATTTTTAAAGAAATCACGCCCGGTTTCCAGCTTTCTCCACTGTCCCCCTTCTTTCCCCTTTAAATCAAGGCTGACACCAATGATCAGGAGGGCTCTGAGCACAAAACATTTCAGCAGACCTGGGAAATGATGCTTAACCTTCTGTTGCCAGGAGCCAGTATTGATCTAAAAGCATGAGCTGCTGCTGCTAGGAAAAAAAAAAAGCAGTAAACAAGGTGCGTGCATGGGGGGAAAATAGGTTTGCCCTCCCCACAAACAGAAATGGGGTGAAAAAGGGGAAGAGAAAAGCAGGTGCTAAAAGGGGCGTGTAGATTTTTCTAACTTCAAATCACCTCCCATCACAGGACTCTTCAGTATTCCTATCAAACTAGTGCTGTCTGAAGCGGTAAAGCACTTTAGCTGGACTCAAAAAAGGACTGCTGCCAACGCCACTTCTGAATTGCTGTGATGACCTCTGCCAGTTTTCTTTCCTTCCACTATCTCATTTTATCTACACACATCATCTGATGGTTGAGGCAGGAACTGCCTCTCAGCACATGCTTAAAAAACCCCACCATGTATTTAGGTTCCATTTCAGCAATGCAAAAAAAAAAATCAAAGATTCCACCTATCCATATCCAAAGCAGGTGAGTAGTGCACCGTACTGCACTTCTTGTTTTGTGCCGCCTTCTGATGCCCAAAGAGGCAGAAGCAATTCTGCTCACAGCTACAGGAAGGTACTTAGATGTGGAACGAGACTAGATACTGAACACAGAATCTTCTCTTCATATGACTCACCGATTACATCCCACTCCAGGACAGATTCCAAGCAACAGTATACCCCACTCTTGACACTTCCAACCCAGCCACAGCAGCCAGCAAACCTTGGTATTGGCTCAAATATGGATTTTATTTCATTTTCTCTCCTTGCCAAATAACGAAACATACAAAGTTGCAAAAGAAATACTGAAAACCTGATGTAACTTTTTTGCCTCTTCATAAATGAATGACTGACTTGAACTCAAAACCTAGAAGACTGAAATAAATATTTCCTTATTTCCTATTCAGTTTTTCTTCCCCTGCAGGCAACTTAATAATTTGCTGTCAAATGGGCTTTGTGCTGGGCAAAGTCATTTGTTACTATACATCTTCTCCAGTCCACAGATCTAAGAAACTTCACGATACAAAGTAGGTCCAGAAAAGCTCTATGAAATGTTTACTTACGTTTTTGGACTGTTGTTTTCTGAAGCAATTTATTTTTGAGGAAAAATACACAGAAAGATTTATAAAGTTACTAAAAAAAAAGATTTTAAAAAGTACATTCCAAAGGGAAATGTAGGGATCTGAACTTCTATGTCAGCCATTTTAAGGCAAACTGCATTTAAGCAGCCCAATTTGGCCTCTAGCCAACCAGGGCCACATTTGACATGTCTGATCAAATTTTCTACTTCAATTAAGTATTACAGTAATAAACCACGAGATCAGTAGAAAGAATTTTTGACCCTCTACTTCTCAAAACGACGAGCCTTCCTAGCACTCAGTACCACGAGCAGAACCACAGACCAAGCAGCACCAGGTCAGCATGATACCTGAACATCATTTTTTTGTTGCAACACAGAAATGAAAATGAGCCCAGAAAAAGTTCGTATGTTTTAAGATGTGGGAGTGCTCACAGATATGATTCTTGGTGCCTGAGGACCTACCAAAACACATTTCCTGAAGTAACTCACTTTCTTTTCCCTGCTTTATTTCAACACTACGTAACTGGGCTGAGCAGGTGACCAGATTCTGGTCTCTCCTCACTCTTTGTTGCACCAAACGAGTGCTGCTGTATCTTGGCAATGCTCTGAGGCGAGGAGCTATCCACGAGGGGATACGCTCGGACCACTACAGGCAGGACAGTACTCCCTTTGGGAAGGACACAACGATCAAGTCAATGGAACTGCAACCAGCCTTCCACAACTGACAGCCTAAGCCCAAAGGTGCGTATTGCCAAACGCCTGCACTTCTGCCTGGTGTAAAAACCCAACGGGCACAATCGAACAGGGCTGAAAGTCAGTGCAGCCCCACGTTCAAAAACCACCAAAGATTCTGTTAAAACCTTCAGCGTGCTCTTTGTCTACCCAGGGTGTGTTGTGACGCTCAGCTAATGTGTACTGATGCATGTTGTCGTGAAAAACGGGCTTCTTTCGCCTTGTTAAGAACGTGAACATCAGCTGAAAGGAGCTGGAAATATTTCAGAGGCCTCCTTGCCTGTGGAACTTTTAGTTTAGAAATGTACCTTCAGCAGAGCCGCCCATGCTCCAAATTCTGATCTATCCTCTGCTGATGAAGCCTCCCCATAACCGGGTCTGAGCCTGGCATCAAATTCCAAAACCTAATTGCAAACACGCATCTCTGTTAAAACGGGTTAACGCCGATGTTTGTGTGTGTGTGTGTGTAACCTTCCCCAGGCCAGGTGTGAACGCATTTCCACTACGTGTGAAGGATATGGAGTGAAAGACCAAAAACTCCAGGCTCCTTTGCTCTTCAAATTCCGTGATGCAGCGCCGGCCCGGTGCTGTAAGGGCTATTCCCGCAGCTTTGAGAACATCTGACAGGCTGAGGGCACGTGCAGTGACCCACACTGCATGGGGCTCCTGATTCATCTCTGCCCAGAAGCTAGACAGTTAAAGGCCCACACTTCGAGGAAGCTGGGGAATCTGTGCCTTGGCCCAGTCCACCCCTTTTAAAGATGGATTGGAAATGTGGATACTGTACCAGCAGAAATCACGGCATCTTTAGAAACGAAAGATTCCATGTCCCCAAAAGCTATCAAGCTACCCCAACACACAGAAGTCTGTATTTGAGTCTCTTAGAAAAGTTTTTTGGGAAAATGCTGGGAGG